CCACCTAGCTAGTGAGCACCTCAGTTTCCTCATATGAAAATGAGGCTAAGAATACCTTCCTGGCAAGGTCGCTCTAGGGATTAGGGAGGTAACATACACAAAATGTTTGCTACAATGCAGGGATCCAGTCAGCCCTCAAAGTTATGATTCCTCTCATTATCATCATTATCATCACCAAGCCCTTAGCAAATTCTGCTTGCTCCCTCAGGGCCTGAAACCTGTGCCCGGTCCCCGCCTCCTCAGGGACATTCCCCACACTGGGCGGTCCCTGCTCTTCAGACTCACACAGCACCTCCGCATAGGACCCAGGCTGGACCTCCCATGTCTGGCATAATAGCCAGCAGGCTTTCAGAACTAGTCTCAAGTGATTTTTGTGAATGAGTGAATGATTGAGCAAACAAAGAGAGTTGGAAATGAGGCTGCACTGAGTCATGGGCCTCAATACACTCTAATTAGGGCTGAGTCATGTGTTGGAGGCCCATTTAAGTGGCAAGCATCATGAAGGTGCCCAAGGCTGGCAGTGGAGTCAGGAATAAGCATTCTGTTCAAACACCAAAAGTAGCCAGAAATCCCAATCCTGGTGTCAGCTGTCGAGAGCGGAGGGGCAGGGAGAAGCGGGGCAGGCACTCCACTGAGGGCCGTTGCAGTAGCAGAGGGGAGAGATGCTCAGTGTTGGTTACAATCACGGCAGAAAGGGCGATCACAGGACGCAGGTCAGACACAACATCGACAGGATTCAGTGACAAAATGGATGGTGAGGATCCAGAAGCAGTACCTAAAGATGTGAACAGAGGAGTCTGGGAAAGTGGTACTTTCAGTCTCTAATCTTTATCCCAACTATTATTTCTTTATTGAAGAAAGCAGGAGAAATTAAACTACAAGACGCCCACAAAGAGAAGAAATGAGAGCCCTGAGCGAGCAGGGTACCGCTGTGTTCCCTGCAGCTCTCCTGAGGCTCCCTGGGTCTCCTGTCTGGCCTTTACCCCTGGTCTGTAATCTCCTTATTAGTAAGAATCTTGTCTTAATTCACTTTGGTGTCCACTGCATTAGTCATTTTTTCATCCATTACACACATATTTATTTGAGTGCCTCTTACAGGCATGGCAGAGCCCGAGGTCTTAGATCCCAGTACATCTGTACTGGGTTGATTATGTCATGACATAAAGTGGGCATGGAGAGGTTCCAGAGGGGAGAGAAGAGAAGAGGGTTTTACTGGTGAGTATCTGGAAAGGAAATGGGGGAGACTCATTGCAAGACCTGGGTTGGTTAAAAGCTCAAAAGGTCAGAGAGAGAAAATGTGCTGAGTTCATAGAAAAACAGGCATAAAGCTGAGCCGAAGACAAGGGATTGGCAATAACTGGGCATTTTATCTAAGGAGAGAGTTTTTTTAAATGAGGAATACTGAAATTAAGTGATATACTAAAAATCTGAAGGTATATGTGACATGCTTAAGACACTCTGGGGGGAAAGAATATGCTGGAGTGTCTCCAGCTCAGTCCCTGCTCCCCCTTGGGCTCCACAGGCATGCCCACATAACAGAGAAGTGCTTGTCAGGGCTTGCTGTCACTGCTCTGGAGAGAATGCCCAAGTGGAAGCACAGTTTGTTCCTGGCACAGGTCCATTTTATGTAGATTTGACCTGCGTTTGCCTTTTTTGGTACTCAGACCCTCGAGGGCCTTGCTATCCACGGATAGTCTGGCCCACCGACCAGCGGCAGCGTCTCTTGGGAGCTGGTTAGAAATGCAGCATCTTAGTGTGAGGTGGTGGGATGGGGTGACGTCAGTGAGGTGGGAAAGAAGGGCATGGAGGCAGCAGTGAGAAAGAAGCAGGCCTCAGAGGCAGCCTCTCTGGGACTCAAATCCCAGCTCTACCACCTAGCTAGTGAGCACCTCAGTTTCCTCATATGAAAATGAGGCTAAGAATACCTTCCTGGCAAGGTCGCTCTAGGGATTAGGGAGGTAACATACACAAAATGTTTGCTACAATGCAGGGATCCAGTCAGCCCTCAAAGTTATGATTCCTCTCATTATCATCATTATCATCACCAAGCCCTTAGCAAATTCTGCTTGCTCCCTCAGGGCCTGAAACCTGTGCCCGGTCCCCGCCTCCTCAGGGACATTCCCCACACTGGGCGGTCCCTGCTCTTCAGACTCACACAGCACCTCCGCATAGGACCCAGGCTGGACCTCCCATGTCTGGCATAATAGCCAGCAGGCTTTCAGAACTAGTCTCAAGTGATTTTTGTGAATGAGTGAATGATTGAGCAAACAAAGAGAGTTGGAAATGAGGCTGCACTGAGTCATGGGCCTCAATACACTCTAATTAGGGCTGAGTCATGTGTTGGAGGCCCATTTAAGTGGCAAGCATCATGAAGGTGCCCAAGGCTGGCAGTGGAGTCAGGAATAAGCATTCTGTTCAAACACCAAAAGTAGCCAGAAATCCCAATCCTGGTGTCAGCTGTCGAGAGCGGAGGGGCAGGGAGAAGCGGGGCAGGCACTCCACTGAGGGCCGTTGCAGTAGCAGAGGGGAGAGATGCTCAGTGTTGGTTACAATCACGGCAGAAAGGGCGATCACAGGACGCAGGTCAGACACAACATCGACAGGATTCAGTGACAAAATGGATGGTGAGGATCCAGAAGCAGTACCTAAAGATGTGAACAGAGGAGTCTGGGAAAGTGGTACTTTCAGTCTCTAATCTTTATCCCAACTATTATTTCTTTATTGAAGAAAGCAGGAGAAATTAA